CACTTATTCTTATGATCAAATGTAGTTTATATTCATTTATTTCTTCATTTTCCACAATTTTTGGTCAGACTTCTCTGTTGCTATTCAGCTACCTTACATCATCTAGTGAGGTCCATTTGATATCTTTGTCAAATATCAGCTTATTATTCCATTTTCTTGAGTATGGATACATATCATAGAAGTGTATTTAGATGAAAAACGTAAGCCAGTGTTTGATCCTCAGGCAAATTCCAACAGATCCCATATTTTTCGGTTTGCACTCTTCTTTAGCTGTCACTGCATCTCTGTCCGTTATATTTACTATCCTGCTCGGAATTCGTTTCTACAGGCGCACAACTTTTCATCGAAACGTTCAGGTAATAGAAAATGATCCAGCTCCTTAAATAGCCTATAATATCACTTACTTCAGATTCTTATTTACTTGCTATTTGCATACGGCATCATCTTCAACTCAATGGTCGATGGCACATATGTAAGTTCCGTGACAAATGTGTAGAGAATTGCAAAGTTTTTGAAACTTTTAGTAGCGACGATTTAATCCACTTTCAACACGTCGAAAAAAAATGAGACCTGAAAATCCAATTTCAAATTTTGTAGACGTTTCATGTCAGCCACATTATTGGTGAGGACTCTCCATGTTCACTTGTTTTCTACACAACGGAGTGCTGGTGGTCTCTGGCTCCGTCAATCACATGTATTACTGGATTTATTCTCATTCAGGTGGAAAGTTAAAAGACCATTTCTCGAATTTTCTACACCTTTACAGTGTGCAATTGCTCAAAACCAATAACAAAAACTCATTGCATGTGCTGTAGGCTGCCTTTACTATTGAACGAGTCATAGCTACATGTCGACTTGGACATTACGAAAGAAAAGGGAAGTTTGTGGGGCCAACACTTGCAGTTATGGTGGTGAGCTATGTCCTCTCCTATGAAATAAGCATACCATCTGTAACTTCCACCTATCAATTATAGGTATTACTATCCATATTATGCATGAACTGGGGACTCGGAGAAGCAGATCCGAATGAGCTGCGATTTCACTGTGCGGGTATTCCAGCATCTGCAACTCCTCGAATGATTGTCATCTATTACATTATGCTAATCGTTGACGTTATTTCGATGATAGTACTCGCATACTGTTTTTACTACAACAAGAAAAAGCTAAAAAGCGGGTAGGTGTAACGCTATACGTTCGCGAATATCCTTTTTTGGAAAAGGATTTGAACGTTAAAACTAAATATTAAGCTCATCTCACTTGATCTCAGATGATCTATTGTGATACAATGTAATGTGCTACCTATAAATTCGTATTTTTAGGAAGTTCTGCCTTGATCTACGTTATGAGATACAGGAAAACGTTAAAGTAATTCATATTCTTTTTCCTATTGTCATATCACAATTCGTGGTTTTCG